TTTTCTTGTGCCCAATAATGCATAATTTCATTTGATAAACACGTTTAGATTGAATGGTAATTTATAATCAGTCACAAGAACGTCGAATCTGAATCACTTGAAAAAAACACGGGGGTGCTTAACTTTTTTCCAGGTGTATATATACTGTTGGATAAAATTAAAAATTTTCAGTTGTGGGAAAAATTTCAAGGTAACCTATAGTACCTTGCTGAAACCTGTTTGATATTGACTTCTGTGTTAAAATAACTTCATTTTTACATAAGGACAGTTTTATTAAGGACACTTACACTGCAAGTTGTCTCCAAGTACACACATTACAAGTAAGGTGTATTATGGAAAAATACAATAACTTTTCAGTAGTGGGACAAACTGAGTTCACTGGTGGAACAGTTGTCCCACCTTAATACATGCTATTTTAAGCCTTGCACTGATAGTAGTATCATAGTAACATGCTGGTGGAATAGGAAATATCCTTGAGTGAATTTTTTCGTGTACCCAAATATCATACTTCAGAAACTTGTTTTTGAGTGTAAGGTTCTGCTTTTTTAAGCTAATGACACCCAAATTGGGGAACAAAGGTCATTTTCAGACAATTTTGGAAAGTATAAAGCTGCATCATGGGTGTTTAATACACTGACTCTTTACAGGGTAATCCTTGTAACTCCATAAGGTACTGCAGTTTCAAAAGTTTAATCATGTGTTTTGCTACAGTGGAGTCATCTGCATTTTGCACAAGATTAGGATAACAACAATTGGAAAGGTCATTAACAATTCTGATGCAATCACCTATAAAAGGAATCTATTGACAGTTAGTGAAGACTACATTTGGTTACTTTCTCCAGCCACTGACTACCTCAACCACCCAGTACACTTCTGGTAACCAGTCTTTACAGACTGGATTCTATAGGTCTGTGCAGCTTGCATCCATGAGAGAGAAAACATCTGTGTTTTAAATCCAAGGTCATGCATAAGCTCAATTATATCTCTAAAACAATGGTCTACAGCTGCAACATCATGTGGTTATATAAACTTCATATGTCTTCAGTGTCCTTTTAAAGATACAATGAATTATTAAAGCAGAATTAATTCTTCCATCAACAAGATATAGTCCTGTAATGGGCACTATGAATTAATTTGTAGAAAGGATCATAAACTGTCTTACAAGGGCCATTGCTTATGCATACTGTAACTCCTTCTAAGAAAGCACAATTAGCATTTGTTTGTATATAGACGTAAGTACCATCTAAAGCTAAGATTGCTATATGGACTTTCTCATTAGTCATCAGTTTTCTTGCCAGGGGACTCATCTTGGTGTCATTTATTCCTTGATGACTAATATATCCATATCCCAAAATAAATTGGAACAATCATTGACTTGTATTCTCTTTTAGAGCAACAAAACTCTTTAAGCCAAGATGGTTGACAGAATCGTATTTGAAAAACTGTATGAAACTTAACCAGTAGAAAAACTAAGTATGTCTGCACAGATATTGTGGATTTCTCAAACATGGAAGCTTGGGTGCTGAGTCATCAAACAGATATTTGTAATCCTGTAAGATAAAAATTCTCTTCCACCTATGAGTTTCTGTGGTTAATCAGAGGCTATCCCTTCCAGTCACTTCCAGGAAGAATAAACTGGTTTAATCAAGAAAGGACTTGTATCGCTGAAGTTCCTTGGAAAGAATTTCTACCAGGAATTAACAAACAAGCAGATATGCAACAGTATCAATTACCTGCAACACAACAGGTTTTGGAAATGTTATGGGATATATATGTATATTGACAAGTTTCTATATTTTGTATTGAACTCACGTTGGTAGCGCTGGAGAAAAGAACTTTTATGCAATATAAAGACAATGGTAGCAAGATTAATGAAGATACTGGGGGCATTCAAATATATCTATATCCATCAGAATGTATCAGGTATCTACAAAACGCTGGCTCGGAATGGTTAAACAGAGTATTTTCATGAACATAAGCAGTTTTTGGAACTGAAAAAAACAATAGTGTACACTTGGAACAAATCTTTATTCACGCAATTTCATATGCAAGTTTTAGCTTACTGATCCCATAACTCATACTAACCTTTGCAAGTCTCTGTACCACCCCTTACAAGTATGACCCTATTACAGGAAGGCATGAGATAGAAATAGGGCCAATGATTATAAGACTCATAGAATAAGCATTGTAATATGTAACCTTTTTCTAAAGTAAATCAGACCTGCCATGGCCAGGTGGTTAGGGCGCTTAACTCGCAATCTCAAGGTCGCAAATTCGAATCCATGTCCCACAAAACATGCTCACCCTTTCAGCCATAGAGGAGTTATAATGTGACGATGAATCCCACTATTCGTCGGTAAAAGAGTAGCCCAAAAGTTGGTGGTGGGTGGTAATGACTAACTACCTTCCCTCTAGTCTTTCATTGCTAAATTAGGGACGACTAGCGCAGATAGCCCTCGTGTAGCTTTGCTCGAAATTCAAAAACAAATGAAAGCAAACTAAAATAAAGATTAAGTTCAGCTTTATGGCATTCCCATATTCTGTGTACAAAGGATATCACTAACTATTTGCATAACACTTGCAAAAAAATTAAAAAAAATATTCAGCTTTGCGCGAAATTCAAAAACAAATGAAAGCAAACTAAGATAAAGATTAAGTTCAGCTTTATGACATTCCCATATTCTGTGTACAAAGGATATCACTAACTATTTGCATAACACTTGCAAAAAAAATTAAAAAATATTCAGCTGGATATACCCGAATAAGTATATATTTTTCACTAGTTATGGAAAAATAAAATATCATAATTTCTTTCAATCATACAATACCACACCATTAAACCAGACCCGTGTTCTTGTATGACATTCCACAATTCTTAGCTAAGTTACATGTGATACAGTCATTCTCATCACTCCTATTCAATGAGGTAAAAATTAAACTTACAACGCATTCTAACTGTTACAAATTTCTGTACCACCTCTATAATTGAGTATGATCTCACCCCAAGGCGGAATAACGCACAAACAGGGCTGAACAAATATAAACCTTATATTACAATTAATCCAATTAATATATTACTTTTATCTAGGCTACAGGAATTGTTTTGTTTGTTTGTAATTAAGCACAAAGCTACACAATGGGCTATCTGTGCTCTGCCCACCATGGGTATCGAAACCCGGATTCTAGCGTTGTAATTACGCAGATAAGCCGCTGTGCTTCCGGGGGGCAGGCTACAGGACTAACACAAGTTTGCGACCTTTGTACTTCCAGTTTACAAAGACTTCGATAAATACACAGGGGCTGATATCTTCCCCTTCCCGATGAACTACCAAAAGGTTCATAGCCTGGTGGAAGAACAAAAATTCTAGGACAATAAAGCCCTAACAAAAATCTTGGAGTCACTTCTACTAAGTGCAAAGTATCTGCATGAATATTTAGAAAACAATTTATATGAATATGCCTGAATAAAGATATGTTTTAAAAGTGAGAGCAGAGTAAAATTTAATGATCTTTCCAACTGCCATATACTTATACTTCCATATCCCAGGTTCCCATGGGTACTTTGGTGTTGTGATCAGGTGAATGTGTATTTCATTTGTTCAGAATACACACTGTACCGATAGTCTTTATAAAACTTTTTTGGCTGAGTTTACCCTTGGTATATTTACTTTCTGTGTCAGCATTTTAAGCAAGTGATTCTTCTTTAAAAAACAAAAATGTTTTGTCTATAAAAGGAAGGCGTTTTATGGCACAGGTTTTCCTCCATGTCTCTGGAAAGGAGTTTTAAAGGCTTCTTGAGAACTCATAAATGTTATTAGTTAAATTAAAGTGTCTAAACTACGTTTGATATTTTCACCAGATCTTTAATGAGTTGATTTCATTACTGTGTAAAGCAATCCTGATCAAGTTTGCAGATCAAATTGTCTACATTTTGATTCAGTACAGAAAGATGAGGTGTTTTAATAATCATCAAAAACTGACAGTCAACAAACTATATAAAAATGTAAAAAACAACAACAGCAACAATATAAGCCTCTAGGGCCAGAGGCTAATTTTTTGGAGGTGCGTGATGTCAAAAGGGTCTGCACTGCGAAAAAGGTTGAGAACCTAATTTAAGTTATGAGGCAACGTTGTTTAATTAATATATAACCTATAGGGGCATGGATCATCAATACATAAAAAGAGGAACTAATTTGTGGTCTAATAAATTTTAAGAAAATAGTATTACCACACCATTTAATTGTATATTTATTAGGTTTAGTGTTTTTTCTATTATATTTTTATTTCTGTGACACGAATGATTTATTCACGAAGTCTTCGAAGATTCAATCCTTATACATATGTAGATGGCACTATATTTTCGGAGGTACCACAACTAATTTAATGAATTATGATGAAAATAATGGACGTGAAAGGAAACTTGATTTTCGATCTGTATATTGAATTCCGGATTGTGCGAAATTACAGTAGTTGGTAGGCCGAATCTTAATAATTCGAAAACTTAGAATAATGTCCAGATTAGATTGTCAAACTCAAGATCAAAGTCAAACAAATTTATGCTCACAAGCAGTTAGTTTTAATCCTTCTGAAATCCATTGTACACATGGAGCACTGACTGATTCTTTTGGTTGGTTTATTCAAGGAGTGTTGGCTGGTTTAGCATTCACGTGTCTTATATGTAAGTTTAACTTTAAGCATTTTTTCTTTAGTAATTCGATGGTTATGAAATTTGAATTTTGTAGAATTGTGTTAGAAAAGTGATGTTTTATATAATTTTAATTTCAGTAGCTTGGATGAAACTTGAAAACAGATACATTGCCATAAGCATAAATGATGATAAGGTATTATTTATTAATTCTATATCCATTAGAAATAACAGATTTTTTATGAAAATATCGGATCGATTGTTTTTATATAAAAAAATTAAAACTGTTATAATGACCATTTTATTAAACTATTCCAACTTCCACAAGTCGGGATTTGTAATAGTAATAC